TAGCTTTGGAGGTATGTTTGCGGGTATTTGATCACTGTATTTTTACATACATATCCATTCTATTAGACTTGATAAATTATGGCCAACTGGTTGCTGTCCAGCCCGTTTTGCTAATTTTTTTATATGTTACTTTTTGCTTTCTAGATTCTTTTTGACTCATTTTCAAGGTATAATTCTCAAGGCAGTCTTATTATTATATAAGGACCTTCTTTAGGTCAAATGAAGAGGGAAGAAATGTTCCAAAACATAAAATTAGAGAAATATGGGAGAAAAAAAAAAACAAGCAAAAAAAATAAGAAGGTAAAGCATTTCAAGATTTGACGTGGAAGAGAACAATTCTTGATGAAAAATCAATATCTTTTCATCATTCTTTCTTCTACCCAGTGACGCAATCCAGTTTATTCTTGTATTTTTCTTCTCCAACAATGTGTAGCTCAACGATCAATTGGGATGAATGATTGTATCTTAGTTTCGTACCTTAATTTTAAATATTATGTTTTGATCTTCAATTAATGTTTGTGAATAATTTATAATTCTATTATTATTTACTTTTGATTACTTAATCACTAATTCGTTGGTTTGTGAATATTAATGAGCCGAAAATTTGAGTTATTTGTTTAGACGTGATATTAAAAATCGGATTTGGGTAGAAGGTATAGATACATTTATATTAATTTTTCTTTAATTAAATTCTCTGGAGATTAAATACTCTTGATTAAGGTTTATTCTTATTAACGTAAAGTTATAATTATTTAACATAATTTAGTATGATTAGTTCGTACTCGAGAGAGATAAATCAATTAATTTAAAGGAACTCGGCCATATATACATAATTAATTGTTGTCGAATTTTGGTTATCCATATTAAGGGTATTGCTATGATGAAGTCATAAATCCTAACTCTTTTCATATATTAAGTAATGCGACGAATTGTCTAGTAGTGCATTTTTTGATGTTTTTGTAGATTTATCTTAATTTGGATAAAAATCAAAATTAACTTTAATAATTGTTTTTACTCAAATAGAAGTTACTTATATTTAAACCAATGGCTAAAAGTAGTTCTCGTGAGAACAATAATGTGGACTCTTTAGTTTCACTCTACAAGTTAATCGATATAGTACACTTTCTTTAGAAATCATGAAACAAAACTCATCAAATATTAGAACCTTTAATTGGTCAAGGCTATAAAATCTATTACTAAACACTCTACTCAATATACAAAATTGTTGGAGTCATTATAAGCACCAGAACATCAAATCGTGCTATTACAGCATAAGAAGCATACGTACTATTTATCTCACCAATAAGAAGATAGTTTTATTTATTTTAAATTATTTTCTATCAACTCTAGTATAATTTATTTTATTTTATCTCTATTATGTATTGTTTCAAACGTGATTTCAATCAATTCTACAATTACAGATAAATTTAGATTGGGCTTTTCAGCTATTGGTTGCATTCATGGCCTTCAAAAAAATTGTGAATTGAAGTAGATATTTCGAAAGAGGAGACTCTAGGAAGTGAAAAAGAACAATTTTATAAATTTTCATAGGCCATGAATGCAGTCAATTTGATAAAGAAAATATCTAAAAAGTCAAATCTGAATTCATAATTAAATGTAGAATTGATTAAAAGATGTTATCTAAGTGGCTCTTTGAACTTCAAAGTAAATAAATTCCGGGCATTATATCTTACAAGGGATTTTAATGTTTTTAACTAAACGGGAAGATGGGTGCTCCAGATCCAAGATGAATTGGACAGATAAATAGTTCAAGATCTAACTTTATAATTTCTAAGCATTATTTTACGTTAATGTTCTTTATTCTGTGACTTTAAAAAAATTGTACGACTAATAGCTTGTTCATGTACAATATTAACTCACCCTATGTTAAAAGTAGTTAGTCCTAAACTCACAATACGAAGGAAGGTTTCAATTTTATTATAAAATAAAAAATTGAGCAAGCTTGTGGGCTACTTAGCTCAATCCTGAAGCCCACGAGCTAATAGGTTGAAATGAGCAGTGTTTTTGGACATGAGCCGAGCCTAGGTGTTTAAGGGTTGTGCTAACTCAGCTCGACTCGATCTATTGTCACTCCTAGCTTAAGCATGAGATGAAGAGTCCAAAAAAGATCAAAAGAACAATTAGATCGGTTCATTTAAAAGAGTAGTCGAATTTCAATATTAGAGCAAGCCAGGATCTTGTGGAGCATGCTAAGATGAAATTTCACCTCAATTAAATATTAAGAAATATTACCCAGAATAAGAAGAGTTTATGCCTCTTCACAAGGCAGAATTCTCAAACCAACCAAGTAAAATAAACACTTGAGTGTATATAATATTAGGAAATTAGAATAGTAGAACTACTCACAAAACTATAAACTGCATGTAAAAGTCTTATATCCATATTGATCATTTCATCTAAAAACAAATTTAATATAGAGGAAAATGTGATCTATATCTTATTTTCAACACCCCTTCACAAGTTGAATCTACTTTTGATCAAATTTTTGTAAATGGATGGTTGATGACACTGAAATCCTAATTTTGTTCATTACTCTCATAACACGTTAATCATCTCATCTAAAAATTTAAAGTCTCATTAGGATACAAATTTATTAAAGATTCATGAATTAAGTCAAAGTCAAACATTAATTTTAACCACATATTCATGATTATTACTCATTATTATCCACGTATATTGTTGGAATCACTATTATTTTTCTTTATAAACCATATATAAATTTATCAAATGGAGGCTAAGCCCCGACTTGGTAACAATTATTTCAGAACTTTTTTTTCTCATACTTATTTTCAACCATGCATTCTCACAAATAAATATTTTTTTATATAAACCCAAAACATTTCCTACTTTTTAATCACATTTTTCAAAATTTTACTTTTTTAAAAAAAAAAAATCTGTCAAAATGGGCATCTTAACAGGATGTGACATGAGAATCAAATCTAAAAGTTGTATTCACATTAAAGCTAATAAGCCAATTAAACAAGCACCAGTTTCAGTTTTAGAATATCTACAAGAGACTCTATTTTTAAAGAGCATATTTTATAATTTAAAAGTATCTATATAAATCTAATGAGTAAAGATTTTTAAGCAGTCCAACGAACACTTTATATTTAACACTTAATTTTATTACTTCCAAAACAAATATTTATTGTTGTTCCCTATCATTTATTTTCATTAGCTTCCCTCTGAATTATTGTATTATTTTTCCCTATTGAAAATTGGAATACTTCGCATGAATTTAATTATAGAAATTGTGCTTGGCTTTCCAAATTTGGAAAGTTGAATCCACTCTCTATTTTAAAATGTTAATTTAAAGAATATTTTGAAACATAATTTTAAGGGTTAACTTTTTAAAATAGAGAGTATCTTATATTTAAAGAGATTCTTAGAGATGTTCTTAGTTTCTAAACGCATCTCATGTCAAAATAAAAGTCAAAATCAATTATTGTGTCAATGCCTTTTGACTAGACAATGTATAGTTCGGACAAAAAGATGTCAACTTTCTTAGCTTAGTAAAGTAAATCAAAATAGATAAGATCAAAAGAATAAAAATATCATATCAAACTAAAAATAAAAATCAATTATTGTGTCAATGCCTTTTGTCTTCACATTGTATAGCTTTAAACAAAAGGACGTCAACTAGCTTAGCTTGTAAAGGAAATCAAACATGGATAAGATCAAAAGAATGAATAAATCATGCCAAAATAAACCTGAAAATCAGTTATTGTGTCAATGCCTTTTGTATTGACATTGTATACCTTTGGACAAACTCAACTAGCTAAGTAAATCAAATATGGATAAAATAAAAAAAAAAAAAAAATGTCTATAAGGATCATAACATATGAATTATTTTATGAACGCATGCCACCATTTATATTAAAATGAACGGAATGAGAAAAAATAATTCTTATTTATTATTTAATAATGCGTAGAAAACATGTTCTATATAATTCTTCCTAATGCCATATCGTAGCACATCTATCTCTAAAGTCCAATATAAAAGAATTTAAACCTAAGAGGCAACTGTTGAAATTCTTGGTCTATAACACGTCAAAGAAATCAATTAGGCCTCCTTTTTCAAGAATGCATACTAGGATTAGGTTAAAAAAGCTTATTGATTCATTTTAAACTTCATTAGTTGTGTAAAACTTCCTACTTGGTAGATTCCATTGCAAGTAAAATTTAGGAAATTTGACTTCTAAGTCTAGTATTATCGCCTCAATATATAATAAGTCAATAAATTTTTATCATCTTAAACTTTTAAATGATATCAAGATTTTATAGAAAAATGAATCTAACTAAATATATAATTACTCATATTTGCTACCCTAATTCAAACTAGGGTAGCACATGAGATGAACATCCCGATAGGCACTATCTATTTTTAATTTCTAAATCAACCGATCATCTAGGCGGAGTGTCCATTAATGCTTGAAAGACATATAGCAGAAAATACAAAACTTTGGACATCAAAACCTCTCGAGGCACTTCAAGTTGAAAATTTTGATTACGACTCAGACTGTACAACATAATGTTAAACCACAATTTGTCAAGACCTTAATATGTAAGAAATGGACTAGCAGCAATATCTACAGCTTCATTTCACATTCTTGTAAGAAATAAGTATCGATATGTAAGGAAAAAGTCAGTGGGAATTAATTGAATAAATTAAAACTGTCAAAAGTACTCGAAAATGAATATGAAAACTAGTTAAGACCACAAATAACTGGGAACTGAGAGGATAAGAATGTTAAGAACTCAAGAATGAATTCTATCTATTCAGTTGACAGTACTCAGAAGATATTTTCTAAATGATTCCTCCCTTTCCATCAAATCCGACCATTATTATTACTATTATTATTATTTTTTGGGACAATATCACGCAAGCATGTTATTGAATTATATAGCTGCAAACTGTTCACTCATCACTCTTCCACCACAAATTTATCTATACATACGCAGAGAGAGGAGAGAGAAACCTGGAGCTGGCAAAATCGAAGAGCTTCCCTGTGGAGGAGAAGATGATGAGAGCAACATCAGCATCACAAAGAACTGAGAGTTCTTTAGCTTTCTTGAAGATTTCTCTTCTTCTCTTGGAGAAGGTAATTTGCGGGGCCGAGGTCTTGTCGATTTTTTTGAACTGAATCTCCTCTCTCTCCATTTTAATGCTTCACCAAAATAACACAAATAGCCGACCTCACAAGAACACCCATCAAATAAGCCCCAGAAAGCATTATATAGTATTAGTAGTAGCAGAGAATAAGGTTTTCTAGATTGTGGAAAAAGCGAGGTTCCGAGGAATACAGATATTCTTAAAGAGAAGCAGATCTTTCCACATTTAGAGGGGAATGAATAAGAGAACAAACCCTAAAGAGAGAAAAGCAGTACTAAAAGCTAAAGAAAAGACGGACAATTTATTTGGATATTCTTAAAGAGAAGCAGATCAAAATTCAATGATTATTTTACTGAGATCCAGATAATGAGAGAGAGAGAGAGAGAGAGCAATCAGATAGTGGATTTAAAGTATAAACTAAAGAGGGAAAGACAAAACGGACAAAGAGGATTCATTGCAAAGAGATATTATTGGTTCTTTCCAGTTTAGGGGCGGCTGATCTGTTTGAATTATTCTTGGTGTGTACATGTACAGAATCCCTATTGATTATTCTCACATATCCATTAAATATGGGTTTGAGAAAAAGAGTGGCGATAATCAAAAGTTACAGTTAGTTTTGCTATCGAACCATAACGTAATGTTGGACACTAGCTGTCGTTGTAAGAAAGGAATATCATCATTCAAAACTCTAGAGAAACTAATCTTGTATGGCACCCCCACCTCATGATCCATCATTCCTAAAGTGACAGCGTTTATGATGTAAGTGTTGGGAATTTACTTAAACATGCACAGCGGAAATAAAACAGTTTCAATTCCCACCAGGATTCATCTTTGTATTTAGATAAGAACTGTGATGAGAATTATTCTTTTTTTTTTTCTCGATTTTGCAAACTCCTTTGCGTTATCTCTTTTCCAGCAATTTGAATCTGCCTCTCATATCTGTCAAATTGTCCAGTCTCCAATGAAATCCACAGAGAATAGACTGCAACTGCTAGAGTTTTTCCTCTTGTACCTGCAAGAATTATGAAAACAATATGGATCTTAAACCCTAGTCATGTAATATTTAATTAATCCATTTAATTAAATCTGATCCGTGAATTAATTAATCCAATTAATTAATTCGGGGATATAAATAACCAATCCAATTAATTAATTTATCCAATAATTGTTAAATTAATTAATTGGCAATTTACAATTTTCCAATTCTCTTTTGTATGTGACCCATCAGGTTTCCAACCACGATGCCTAACGATGTGAAATATTATTTTGATCTAATCAAAACTGATAAATTAAATACCATTTTAATTTATCACAAACTCACACTCGACGTCCCAGATTGACATCTAGCAATTATCAGGGCAACACATGTGACGGGAAATGTCACGTGGTATGACAAAATCAAAACTGTTCGTTTACCATGAAACTATAATTCTTTCGTCAATATGATCCGATCAACTACGAGATATGGAAGTGTGTCAATCTCGATTATCGATTATATCTTTCATTCTACTGTTAAGTCAATATGAGTCGAAAACTCCTTTTAGACTTATATGTATACCTTGGCCAAGGATTTCGTTATTGACTTAATTGAACGAAATGTAGATCACGATCTCTTACTATCTAAGAGTGACGAATCCTCTATTGATCATATACAACCTTCATATGGTTCTTAACATACCCGAACGATGTCGTATTAGCAGCCCTTGGCAGAGCAACATCCAACACCGTCAAAGCATGACTGTCCTCATACAAGGCACTATGATGACCTCAAGTCATAGGACCAATTCCACTACCGAACGTTAGAGATTAACCACTGATACTCAGATAGTTATCCATGTGGTATCTCTTAGCGGGTCTCCAATGTTTTGTTCTATAACAAAACATCCACGTGTTCATTTAAGTGTCGCCATACTTTAGCTCTTGAGATCAGTTACTTACTTCACAAGTAAGAAATACCACACGTGATGGTCTATCTGTGTTAACGATATCCGAATCTCGTTATTACTTACGACCACGGTTTATTCAAAATCCAATCATACGTAATTTGTATCTCACAATCACAACTCCTTGTGATTAACAAATCACTTAAAATTGGATCTTCGGACTCTATTATTTAATATTATTTATCACAAAATTAATTTAAATAAATAATAGATCTTGTCAAAGTTAAATGCATTAAACATATTAAAAGTGTTTACAACCTGATCGATTGGATCTAGGGCATAACACTTACAAACTCCCGCTCGTACTAGATCCAATCACTCATGTAACTAATACCATAAGCGTCCACATGACGATCATGTTTCTGTTGTGACAACGACTTTGTTAGTGGATCTGCAATATTGTCATCTATGGGAACTCACTCTATCATTACATCATTTCTTTGTATAATCTCCCTGATGAGATGATATCGCCTTAGCACATGTTTGGATCGTTGATGAGATCTCGGTTCCTTCGCTTGTGAGATGGCTCCATTGTTATCACAATACAAAGGTATGTGATCAACAATGCTAGGGACGACTCCAAGTTCATTAATGAACTTCTTGATCCAGACAGCTTCCTTCGCTGCTTCAGAAGCAGCAATGTACTTGGCTTCTGTTGTTGAATCAACGGTCATCTCCTGTTTGGAACTTTTCCAGCTAACCGCTCCATTGTTGAGAGTAAACATATATCCTGATTGAGACTTGTTATCATCTTTGTCAGTTTGAAAGCTGGCATTAATATACCCATAAATTTTCAGTTCATTTCCTCCATAGATCAAGAACACATCTTTAGTACTTCTCAAGTACTTAAAAATGTTCTTAACCGCTATCTAGTGTTTCTCACCAGGGTTTGCTTGAAACCTGCTCGTAACACTTAGAGCATATGAAACATCTGGTCTCGTACATAGCATCGCATACATGATAGATCTTATCGTCGAAGCATAAGGAATCTTATCCATGCGACTCCTTTCATCATGTGTTTTAGGACACATATCTTTTGAGAGGTAAATCCCATGTGACATGGGACATAAGCCTCTTTTAGACTCTTCCATATTAAATCTTCTGAAGATTTTGTCTATGTACGAAGATTGGATAAGCATAATAATCATTTAGATCTATCTTTATAGATCTTGATTCCCAAGATATACGCTGCCTCTCCTATATCATTCATGGAGAAATTCTTTGACAACCATAATTTTACCGATTGAAGCATTGGGATGTTGGTTTCCATTAATAATATGTCATCGACATATAATATTAGGAATATGACCGCGCTCCCACTTGTCTTCTTGTAAACACACGGTTCATCTTCATTTTTGATAAAATCAAACCTTTTGATTATCTCATCAAAACGAAGATTCCAGCTCCTAGAGGCTTTCTTTAATCCATAAATGGATCGATTTAGCTTATATACTTTGTTGGCTCCTTTGGATTCAAAACCTTCAGGCTGTGTCATATACACCTCCTCTTGTAAGTTTCCATTAAGGAAAGCAGTTTTGACATCCATTTGTCATATCTCATAATCATGGTATGCAGCTATTGCAAGCAAAATCCGAATGGACTTTAGCATGGCTACAGGCGAAAAAGTTTCATCAAAGTCAATGCCTTGTCTTTGTATGTAACCCTTCGCTACTAGCCTTGCTTTGTATGTATAGACGTTTTCATCCACATCGACCTTTTTCTTGTAAACCCATTTACAACCTATCGATTTTATCCTGCGTGAAAGGTCGACCAAGGTCCAAACCTTGTTCTCATACATTGAGTTCATTTCGAATTCCATGGCTTCTTACCATCTCTTCGAGTCAACACTTGACTTCCCTTCTGCTTAATTTGTAGGTTCATCATCCTCGACTAATAATACTTGATTAGTAATTGTGAATTCGTACCTTCTGGGAGGTCAAATGATCCTACTTAATTTACGTTGAGCTGGAGTGTCCTCAGAGTTCTCTACATCTTGATCAAGAGTCTGTCCGTCAATAGGTGTAGGATCAGACTCAGATTCATCTAATTGGTCAACAATATTTGTGGATTCTTGAACTTCTTCAAGTTCTAATTTGCTCCCACTACCATCTCCTGGAATAAACTCTTTCTCTAGGAATATGGCATGTCTTGAGATGAACACCTTCTTCTCAATGGGATTATAAAATTGATATCCAATTGCCTCTTTTGGATATCCCACAAATATGCATTTATCAGATTTAGCCTCAAACTTATTTGATTCATTTCGCTTTACATAAGCGTCACAGCCCCAATCTTTCATGTGAGATAAGTTTGATTTTTTTCCTCTCCATCGCTCGTATGTTGTTTTGTAGACCGATTTAGATGGAACACGATTAAGTGTGTAGCACGCAGCATTAGTGTATGACCCCAAAATGATTTTGGGATGTTTGCATGGCTCATCACAGATCGCACCATGCCTAATAAAGTGCGATCCCTCTGTTCAGATACACGATTATGTTGCGGTGTATATGGCGGAGTCCACTGCGAGAGAATTCCATTCTCTTTTAGATAATCTAAAAATTCTCCCTTTAAATATTCTCCACCTCGATCTGATCTCAACGTGAGAATATTTTTACCAGTCTGTTTCTCTACTTCAAGTTTGAATTCCTTGAACTTATCAAGTGCTTCATGCTTGAATTTCATCAGATACACATAACTATATCTAGAATGATCATCAGTGAATATGATGAAGAGAAACCATCTCTGGCGGTGATTGCCATGGGTCCACATACATCAGTATGTATTAGTCCAAGCAGTTCTGTGGTTCTTTCTCCTTTTTCAGTAAAAGGAAACTTGGTCAATTTTCCTAACAGGCACGACTCGCATTTGTCAAATGATTCAAAATCAGTTGACCCTAAGTATCCATCTTTATGTAACTTCGAAATGCGTTTGTCGTTAATATAACCCAGTCTACAATGCCAGAGGTATGTATTATTTAGATTATCACTTTTATGCCTTTTATTTTCTATACTCATAATAGACGACTCAGTATCAAGAATATAAATTCCATTTTGCAGCACACCACAATCATAAAAGATCCCATCTTTATAAAACAAACAACGATTACTCTTAACATTAATTGAAAAATCATTCATGTCCAAACACGAAATAGAAATAATGTTTTTAGTAATGGCGGGAACAAAATAGCAATTTTTTAATTCTAATACTAAGCCCGAAGATAGTGGTAAGAAGTATGTCCCTACAGCTAATGTAGCAGCTCTTGCTCCATTCCCCACGCGGAGGTCAATTTCTCTTTTCTGCAATGGTCTACTTCTCTTTAGTCCCTGCATATTTTTATACAAATATGAGATCCACATCCGGTATCCAATACCCAAGAAGCTAATGAAGTAGACATAGTAACCTCGATAACAAAATTACCTGAAGTAAAAGCTTCAGAAGACTTCTTTCCCTT